GACCAACATATTATTCTACCTGACCCAAATATTCTTCGTTATAATGAAGGAATAAAGACTCAGAGAGCAGCCATTTAGTATACAATTGAAGAAAACCTTCAGAATGGAATGAACGTGGTGTTATATCTACTTGATTGACAATTGAAGCAATACTGCTATAGTTGGTATAATACACGTAAAAATGTACAATACAGACTTCCCAGATGAAATCTTAGTTTACAGCTCACCTCCTAGCTGTCATTTCTGCAGTTACTTGGGAGGAACAACTAGTGTATAGATTAGTAATGTCAAGACGATGATAATTGCCCCCACCAAAGTAAACTGGGGACTTGTCCACAGCATCAAGTTAGATCTTTCAGTTCTCTTGATTGGATCAACCTCTTCTGACAATGGATACTCGCTGCGCCGTGGGTTCCAGGTCACATACTTGTTTGGTGAGAAATCAGAAAAGAGGGTCCTCTTCCCTTTCTTCTTAAAGGTAGTCCATGCCTTGTCCCAGTCAGTAGAGGTTTCACCTGACAAGGAAGAAAAGAAATGGTTATTGCTACCTTCATAACGGTATCTAAAATAAACTAACTATGAACAGACAAGTGCAATATTTTTTTCTTGTTTAAAAAGGAAGGCAGGAATGGTGCCATCTTAATAAAAAAGGAAAGTGAGAAGTTTTAAAAGGTACAGTGGGTCAACTTTTTTTTTAAAGTACCAGCTTATAGCTGGCTTGTATTAATAAGGAGAGTCAGAAATACAACCACATCGCCTCTTAAGCTGGTAGACCACCAGCCAGGCAAAAGAAAGGGAGGAGGAAAACTGACTACTCACTAACTGAGTTTACAACTAAAGTGGACAAAGGTCTGATGCTCAACATGCTCCAGGAGACTACTTGGTCATGGATTTCTTCAAAGATCGAGCTTTCGTTCTTTTCTCAACGACGGAAAATTCTGCTGTTTCATTGTTTCCAGATCGTCCACACTACTAGGAGCACGAGGGAGTCCAGTGGCTGTCAGCTCTAGGAACCAACTTTGAATTTCAAGTACTGAATTCCAGTATGGTGGATTCAAACTAAGCCATTTGCTCCAGCAGACGTCTGAATTACAGTGGGTCACATCAGGAGATCTAAACGATCAAAATCTATAAAGGGCGTACCCAGTGCAGAGAGCTCCCGCTCTGTGCGGGGTCTGGGGAAGGGTGTCAGTGGCAAGCCTTACCCTCGCCTGTGCAATGCGAGGAGACCGCGACTCGAACCCGGGATACAAAAGGTTTTAACTTCCTAATGCTAACTTTCTTTGAGCAATATCCTCCCTGATGAAGTAGTAGATGCTATCTTGTTGTCACATTCGAGTTTTGATACACTATGGTTTGGTGTATTCCAACGGTTTCACAAGGTGTAGGCAACGATGGCACTCGCTTCCATTCTCCTTTCCACCAGAACTAACACTAGAATCCACTATCAACACTTTTCAGGAGGTCTTTTGCAATTGCAGACTAGAGCTACAGTTAGCCATCTACATCCAGTTAGATGTTGTCCAAACATCCTGTGCAAAGGAACAATATAAAGTAATATCCTTTGTGTTTTCAGGTTGATGGGAGCAAAGTTTGTGAATTAGAACAGTGGTCCATCTCTCCTTGCATACCTGTGGTTTTGTTTTGCAGGAGAGCCCCAAGTCATCTAGTATTATTTCATTAGTACAGCAACAAAATTCTGACCATGAGAGGTTTCTCAGGTCATGCATAACCTTCTAGCCGTAGAATAGACTTTTAAAACCAACTATAAGATGGAAATTCATAAATCATCATCACCAACTATCCACCAAAGCAAATGTATGGATAAGCAGCATCAAAGCCAAGTATATTCAGGTGGAGCCTCTCAGCTCCCCCGGTGATGTTGCTCAAAAAAAATCAGTGACTTTTTGTGTAAAGGGATTAGGCACTATACGGAAAACAATGCAAATTCGAGTGTGAAAATCTCCAGAAGGCAGAAACACTGTTTTCTCTTCTTCAAAACCATCACAGTGCTGACACTTAAAAAAAAAGAAAAGGTTTCGATTACAGCGAAGCAAAATTCGCATCGTGTCAAAGACCAAAAAATGGAGCAAAAATTGTTTATGATTACTCAGGACCTAACTGCTGGATTGTGCACTGTTAACCTCACCCAGACACTTGGAGAGGGAAATGAACACCAACATGAGGACAATCTACACAATTGGTGCATCGTTGATTTTTCTTCGCCTTAATACATTTCTTTACGTCAAACTCAAATTATACATACGTTGTCTTAAGGTAAGGTTGCAGACAACCACCAAAACCTGCACCTCTTGAAATTGAAGCAAGCAAAGCAAGCATCATCCAACTCAAACAATCTTAGCACACAAAGCCCTACGCGATCAGATAAACAGATCACATCAACCTATAAACGAGGAAAGCAGGCAGTTGCATCCTGAATTCCTGATGTGATGACTGGACAACTCAAACCGTACTGTATCTCTAATCAGCCATACTCACGCTTTGATCACAACGCTAGACTGACTGACACCGCTACTAGTCAGGTACGTAATCCACTGCGGCATTTCACCAAACACTTGTACGGTAGCCACCAAAGAACTTGACAGTGACAGCTATCAGGAGTTCAGAACGCTTACCTTTGTCGCTGCCGCTTTTGTCCGGGGAGCCTCGAGAGCAGCGAGGGACGAGCGCGAGGGGAGGCCGTCGCGCCAAGAATCTCCCGGAACCTAGCAGTATATCCATGGCTGGCTGCCAAGATTCTATTAGCCGGGGCAGGAATCTCGATCAGAGATTTTTTTTTTCTCTCACTCGTGTACTCTTGTTCCTTTCGCCGCGTGGTTTCTCTTCCTCTTATCCCGTTTGCAGGGGAGAGTGGTGGTCGGTGGACGAGGAGGAGGCGTGGCGGGGATCTGAGACAACGAGAGGAGCAGGTTGCGCTTGCGTGAACGGAAGGTGCGAGAATAGTCGTACTGCACTGCCGCACTACGGCACTACTAATAGGGCGAGCGATTGAGAGAAAGGAGAGTGCGACTCGGAGCGCGCGTTGAAGGAGATGCGGTGCGATCTGCGAGCAGCTAGAACTAAGGAACTGGTGCCGCAAGCAGATGCAGTGCAGGTCTGTTGGGCTGCTATTAAAATCGGCTGATAAATTAGTTGAAGCTGTTTTGTTGTAAGAAAAAAATACTATAGATTCTAGCTGATAAATCAGCTGATAAGTTCAAACGAACATGCCTAGGAGACGGAGGAGGGCAAAACTTGTGGCTGGGGATAACAACGAAAGCCAGCTGAGGGTGACGCGATGGAGGGATCCAATCCTCCAGTCAGATAAGGTCCCGGTTTGGTTACCATGAGGTTTTTAGAATCCAAACTAAATAAAAATTCTAGAATCTCATCCAAACAAATAAAACACATCAGATCATTTTCATCAAGATTAGCAACCAAAACCAAACGGTACCTACTACCTAAGGAAGCATTGAAGGTGGTAAAAATCATGAAAAGTGGGATTATCAGGGAATATAAAATAAAATTACAAATGCAATCATAAAGCCAACCATTTGCTGGCTGAGATGAGAACCAGTCATATCTTCTTCTTCTTTCTTTCTTTTTTTGGCTGTGGCTGAGCTGTTCTGACAATACTCTTTTCCTAGCAGTAAACCCTATGGTGGGGATTGAGCAACAGGTTACAGAATCAGGTATGCTGATGCATTCCTCACCTTAATTTGCCAAACTTAAATGTAAATCAGGCCGGGCTAGTAGAAAAATGCATCGAACTAGGGTGAAACTCCAGGCATGGAAGTGTCAACCAGGAAATGAATCCAGTCATGGTTCAAGTGCTCTGGACCAAGATAAATGTGTGAAAACATACGTCCACTACTTCAGCAGTACTTTTCAACGAATAAAGTGTTTTTCTCTCACAACATTTCAGTATAAGTATAAGCAGAATTTCAGTGAAACGAACAGCGCCATAGTCGAAATCCATTTGTGTTTTGGATGGATAGCCTGACCCAGCCGCCCAGGCCCAGCTTCGATGGAAATGTATCGTCAGCCAGCCCGTAAGCATTGATGCCCTCTCAAAGCATGATGAGTTTCTGCGTGATCTCAGTGTGCTCCTGCTAGTAGATCCAATGCAAGAAATTGCATCTCTGTTTGTCCTGCATTTTGGTTGGGTTCCAAAGGAAGCGAGCGCACACATACACACACGCAGAGGACGCACTAACCTTATGCAGGCTAATTAATTGAGGAGGGGGATTGTCAGGGATGAAACATGCCGATAAAAGAATGTGCCATGGTGAGATCAGGATGAGCCAAGGGTTGCAGACTTGGTCATTATTTGGCATCAATTAATCCAGTAATAATTAGCACAAATAATGAACATTGGTATCCTCTGCTGACTTCACACATTTTATTTTTTCTGTATTTCTTTCATCCAGAGAAAAAAAGGTGATGATGATTGATACCTATAGTATTCAAGTATATCATGGATGCTTCTATTGTATATATATATTTTTGAAAATCAATTAACATTTCCAACAAACTGGAAGTATTAAGATTGTGTACAGTTACATTATCTTAAAACTTTGTTCTCGGCATAAGAGGGAAACTTGTTGAGGATGGCCATGCTGTTTATTTGCATGTACTTTAAAGGCCTGTTTGGAACGTAAGAATTCTAAAGGAATTGTGCAGGAATTTCAGAGGAATCAGTTTATTTTCACAGGAAAAACACATGAACAAAAAAAAAATCCCGCGTTCCAAACAGGGCCTAAGGACTTGGTAGCATATCATGGATACAAACAGAGATTACAAGTTCATAACTGAGATAAGCTGTGAGATTATATATTTAAGATATATGAAATTTCTCCAATGCAAATATACAAGTTACTTACAATAGAGTCGACTTATAGTATGCCACCTTTTCTTTTATTTCCTTCATAATCACCCACATACGCGCTTGTCCAACGAGATGAGGGCGAGATGTAGCTTTATACTAATCAAAGGAGGCTTCACTTGCACAAATACTTGAGAACACCAGGGATGTGGATTCTGGTGAAGTAATCATCCCAGTCGATGGTCTTGGGTTCAAAATTGAACATTTGATCTCCAGGGGTCTTCATCACCGTCGTCAACCTCAACCGCTCCATGTTCATGTCATCAAAGCTCCATCATCAGCCAACCAAAAAATATATAAGAAACGTGTTAATGACTTTGTTTTGTTACATAAGTATAATAATGGAGATAAGTGGTAACATCTTGCCTCTGCACCACCAACAAGAGGGATGTACTACACGAGTTTTTTTTGTTATATATATTTTTTAGAATTACATAGTACAACGTCGACTATACCATGATTAGTATGGACGATCAATTTGCACACATTATAGTCCAATTCCTAATTAATTACAAGCTGAAGGGTAACTAATTAATTACCATCCGTTGAATAAGGCAAAGCGTCCATTGACGTCAACAAGATGCATGATAAACTTGTACTTGCAGTTGAGGTCGTTGTAGAGCCGTGCGAAGAGCCCACAGAGGAGCAGATTCACCAAGTGCAGAACTACAGTGTACAAACAACTCACTTGAGTAATTGAGACAAGTCAGACAACTACACTACAATTATTAGCAAGCACAAGACATTTAATTTCCCCTCCGATTCTCAATGTACTCCCACTGTCCCAAACAAAAAAAAATAAAGTTGTAGTCTTTGAATCATGTCCCATCATTTTAGACATGGATCCCACGTAAGATTCCTTTCTCCCCTCCCTGGCCATCCCACTCGCCCCGTCCTGCCCTCGTGATCCCCTCCCTCCTCTTTTCCACCACCCTCTCTTCCTCTCCACTAGTGACCTCCTCCTCTTCTATTCCGCCGGTCCTCCTCCTCTTCTCATCTGCCCACGGGAGGTCAGCGCCCGTTCTCCTCTTTTCCTCCGTCGGTCTCCCTCCTCTACTCCTCCCCCCCCCCTGTGGCTTCCCCTTCCCTCGCGCTGCCGGAGAGGAGTCTAGGACGGAGAGGGCACGAAGTCACTGGATCTAGGCGGGACGGGGTGGCGGCGTGCGAGCGGGTGGTGCCTCCCTGGCGGGCCACGACACGGAGCAGATCGGTCGCGTGAGACGCGGGATCCCTTGCGACGCTCAACGCGGAGCGGACTAGTGACGAGGCGATCGCGAACTCGGCTTACCGGCGACCGCAGACGCGGAGCGGACCGACATCGAGGCGAATCCGGCGGCGGCGTATCCTAAGTAGGCTCCGCCCCCTTCCTTCTTTCCTATCCAGCGCCCCACCGAGATCCACGCATAGCTGTCGCCGAGATCGACGCCCAGCGCCCAGCTCAGGAGGCGGGCGGTAGGACGATGCGGCCCATGGTGCCGCTACCTCAGGTAAGTGCAGCCGTCGGGCAAGGAGGAGGCGCGTCCTCTCACCTCTTTTCGCCGATGGGAGGCCTGGATCTAGATGGGGAGGATAGCACGAGAGAGAATGTAGGGATATTCTATTCTTTTTGCTTCCTTGTTGGTTTCCGTGCCCAATGTTATGATGATAGTCTTTATGAGACGGAGGGAGTAAGTTGAAGAACATATTAACTCATGACCTATATAAGGTTGTAGGACATATTGACACATAACCTATATGATTAAATATTACCCCAGTTTAGAAAATGAATCTAGTAGCTACTGTCAATCTTAAAAAGGTATACATACATTATATTAATTATATTCTGAATTAGAGGGAGTATAATACAGCAGTATCACTTATCTAACCTCTAGTGGCAGCTTGAATGTGAGCATCATGTAGAGGTGGAACTGCGTGATTGTGGGGAAGAAGCGCATCTCCCTGGTGGGGATGACCTTGCCGTCCTTCCCCACGCGCGGGTTCTCGTAGAAGTGCCGGCGGCCGGACTCGTACAAAACGGAGTAGGCGACTGGGTTGCGCAGCGACGAGGTGACGTGGTACACCGGCACCGCCTCCGGGGCCTTCTCCTCCGAGTGCGCCACCATGGCCGCCATCATGGCGTTGGCCACCATGTCCCCCGGGATGACATCCACGACCACGCTGAGGTCGCCGAGGAAGCAGGAGAGGTTCTGCTTGGCGTAGCCGATGATGAGCTTGTCGATGGTGCGCGTGCCCTGCATCCACCCCGGCAACGGGTCCTCCCGGACGCTGGTGATGATGCTGGGGCACATGATCACCACGGGCATGTCACCCTGGAGCTGCCCCAAGACCATCTCCCCCATGGCCTTGGTGAAGATGTACGTGTTGGACCACCCAAAGTGGCGAGCCCTCTGGATGCCCAGCTCCTTCATGGCCTTCCTCTCCGTCTTCTTGTGCTCGTCGTCACTGGCGTCCATGAGCTCCTTCTTGGCTTCTCTGACAAGCCGCAGCTCGGCGTCGACATCGAGGGGTACTTGCCCTCGAGCAGCGACTCGCCGGGCTTTATGGGCTTCTCCAGGTGGAGCCCGTCCCTGTCGCCGCAGACATAAGCTGCAAACATAGACCAATGCAAAGTTAATGTCATTAAGATTAATTGACCTCACAGGCTCTCTTCTTGCTTCGTCTTGCATTGGGAGCAAGGTTTTAGATCTCCATTTACAGCTGCCGCTATGATAGACCAATAATGCAAAGTTAATGTCATTAAGATTAATTGACCTCACAGGCTCTCTTCTTGCTTGGTCTTGCGTTAGGTGCAAGGTTTTAAATCTCCATTTACAGCTGCCGCTATGATTGACTATAGCTATTTGAAAATTGAAACAGATCAAACTATTGTATTTGTGTCCATGTATAATTTAACGGCTATAGCCTGCCATAGCTTCATTTAACTCCGCTGTTTAGCTGTTTGAGAAGCCATCCGTTAAATACTTTAGCCGGAGATTTAGAACATTGATCGGGAGTTCTACTGACTAGTGGAGACATGCATGAACATCTTGAGTTTAGCGCACTGCTGAGCGAAGTGGCAGAGGTGCTTCACCCCCATCACGTTCACGTCCAACGAGACATCATATCTACACAAGTCATAAAAAAATCAGTTTTAAAAGGGGGATAAGGATGACATTATTCAGTACCGTGCGGCCATGGCCTGATGGCCCCCGTGCAAGAACCAGCGGTGCTCCAGTAGTCCGGTAGTTGCAGTCAGTTCAGTGGTTGCTGGACAGTGACAGTTTGCGCCTCTCTTGTATTGGTGTTTGTTTTTCCGATAGTTGGGCTGTGTAGTTTGGGTTTTTATCCCAGTTGGTTGCAGGAGAAGATGGTTGCCTTGCCTGGGGACATCATCTACGGCTGTCATTTCTAAAAAAAAAAAAAAGGGTTAAGCCTCTTAGCGGTTGTCTTCTCCAACAGCTAAGAATAGATTTAGCTAGCTATAGCGGTAGCTAAGCCATTTACCGGTTTTAGAAAAATAAAAAAACAGAAACTAATATAACAAACTTCAGTGATTAATTCCAAATAATCAATTCACATAAGACTATATGAGTAAATCATAAGAGAGTAAATCATAAGAGAGTTATTTAACAACATAATATTTTCATCGTACCATCATCATTAGTTCATCATGAGTGTGGCTTACGGGACATACTTGTCACAAACTTAGAAGCTACAGCCGGAGCTTTCATGCCCATATGGCGGCTATATAGGGGCTATCTCGGGCTTTTAGCGGCGGCTAAATCGTAGCAGCAATAGTTGAATCTTCTAGCGGTGGCACTTCTCAGAAACTATCTCCGGCTGTAGAGAAAGCTACAGTCGGAGATTTAGAACCTTGTAAAAAAAACAGTAACCTACCATTTTCCTTCAAATAATTATTTCTCAAATGAAGATTATTCGTGCAAATATACAAACATAATAAGTTAAAGTACTGGCCTGGCTAGCTCTAGTACTCCATTTAGATAATTAACAAATAATGTTAACAATGCATGCACTTATTAATTTATTTGACCTAGCTAGTTAGCTACTGAAGGCACGAATAATAAGAACCTTTCGTAGAAGGTGGTGGTTGCCGCAATGTTCACAATGATGCTATGTCCTTGGCCAGAGCCTCCAGCGTAGGAGCATCCAGTCCCAGGTTGTCGTAGATGATATCCCCAGGCAAGGCAACAATCTTCTCCTGCATGAACTGCTGGATCCCATCTTCGCCGTGCTTCTCTCTCAGCTTGCCGAACAGCTCGATACCAATCACCTGCATGCATGCACACACCACGGAATTATTCTTAGTTGGTACTCAACATCACTTTGCTTGTAAACATGTTATTGGACCATGCATGCTCTTAGGTACTTCTGAATTAAAAGAAGGTGGCATCAATAAATGTTATTGGAGTAGCACTACGGGATACAGTAGATTTGCCGAGTGTCAAGGGCACTCGGCAAACGCCCAAAAACACTCGGCAAATACTTTGCCGAGTGTTACACTCGGCATACAGCACACGGCATTGATTTGTCGGCAAACAGTAGTTTGCCGAGTGTTTTTCATCGGGCACTCGGCAAACAGTTTGCCGACTGTCAGTAAACACTCGGCAAAAATAAACTCTTGGCAAAAAAAAATTGACGGGATTTAACGGCGATGTCGATTTTGCCGAGTGCACGACGGAAAACACTCGGCAAAGTTTCCCAAGTTTGCCGAGTGTCAGAAATTAAACACTCGGCAAAGTTTCCAAAGTTTGCCGAGTGTCAGAACTAAAACACTCGGCAAAGTTTCCAAAGTTTGCCGAGTGTTAGAACTAAAACACTCGGCAAAGTTTCCAAAGTTTGCCGAGTGTCAGAACTAAAACACTCGGCAAACAAGCTCCAGCGGTCAGATTTTATGGTCACTTTGTCGAGTGTCCACTGGAATACACTCGGCAAAGAAGGTTACCAGAATGGAAAATGGTCTCTTTTTTAATAATGTCACATATCTGTCAATCCACAAAAAAAACCATGACAATTCACAATAAAACATCATGACAGGCATAATTATTTGTCACAGGTATCATAATTCACAATAAACCATCATCATAATTCACAATAAACCATCATCATAATTCACAATAAACCATCATCACATGTCACAATAAACCATCATCTCAATTTACAATAAACCATCATCACAAATCACAACTAAGACACAATACAAATGCAATCACTGCGTAGGCCCTTGGAACCTCTGCGACAAATCCGGGTCTTGAAACTGATTATTTGATGCCGCCGATTGATTCTGCACAAAAGAGAAGTATTCGAAACAGTGTTAGCTTCCTTTTTAACAGTGTTAGACTTCATATTGCAAAGTGAATTTCAGTATCGAAATGTGTGCATCTAAAGCACTCGGCATTGTCACTGTTTCCCGTAGTGAATGATGACACGAAGAATTCTTTGCGTCAGGAAATCAGAGCTGAATATGTCAATGATGCGCATTACTAAGTCAGCAAGGTTGACAAAAAAAAAGGGAACACATCCATTCATGACAGCAAAGTGAAGAATGCATCATGCTCATTTCAGTATCCGGTCATGTCACTGGTGAGTAGCTCCGCCCTTCTTTTTTTCTTGTTTGGAGAACCAGTGCACCATTTATTGAACTGAGAAAAGTGGATTTGCCATTCAAGCTTAGGTGACGTAATAGAAGTATAATTTGCTATTCTGGTAGTCAGCAGCACCAATGGTTGCCTGACATTCTCTTTTGACATGACATCTATATTTGCATTTATATTTAAGTTTCACTAAGTATTTTTTTGTTTAAAGTTTTATCAACAGAAAAAATTTGGAAATAAAAGCCTAAATTGCTACTTGGAGTAGATGCTCTTTCAATTTAGAATGGTAGTGTAGGTTACATTTTTGGCTTCCTGTAAGACCAGACGTCAGCATGTCCTGATTTTTTTTTATGTTCCTGTGTCCTCTAGGTTGAGTTTGAATATGAAATCATTATTCTAGCCACCATCCTTTCCCTAAAGTAGTTCCCCAGGATTAGTTCACTCTAGACATGAATGTGTCAGCAGCAGCAATGAAGTCTAAGCTCTTTGCCGATCAAGAGGAACGTGAAGTTCAAAGACTAGCTGCTACTGTAATAAATCATCAGGTTAGTATGTGTTCCTACCAGGGGGCAGTAGCACCCTGCCATCAAATCCAGCAGGCATGAGCCCCAGACCAGTGCAGGGGAGATGCAAAATACTTGCTCCAGTCAAAATAAATTTATATTTTGAACATGATCTTATTTCCTATGTATCCCTGAGTACTTTTTTCATTGAAAGCAGTAAAGGAGCTTGCTGACACTTTGGACAGCTTATTTAACACATTCCTAAAAGTATGTCAAATATTTTATGGGAGATATCAAGGTGTCAAGTGACTCACAGGAGTAGTTGTGGGTGGCTGAGGTGAAGGGAATAGCATCGGTGGCGGCGGCAAAGGTTGACCCATACTCGATGCAAAATTCTGCATGTATTGGAACATTTGGTCCATCCTCAACCGACTTTCTTCGTCCATCCTCTGCCGCTCGGCCTCTAACCGCTCCACCCTAGCCTCCATCTCCTCCCGTTGCTTCTTTTCTGCTTCCACCTGGGCCTAAAATATTTCATCGCAATGTTACAATGCAAAGCAATGCAAAGCTAAAGTACGTAAGAACCAACGAATGATGAATGGAAGAGAAAGAACCCGGAGAGCCTCTATCTGGAACTGCATGCGGTGGTCGGTCGGTGGGCGTGTCGCTGGGCTCGAGTCCGTGCTCCTTGCTCGATCTGGGAGAGAGTGGGAGTAGAGGCCGTGTCAATTACGTGTCGCCAATCCAATACCGACCATGCTTCTTGCCTCCTCCCACCCTCATCACGATTTCTCCATCAATATCCCGGGAGCTCGGATCGAATCTGTGGCCCGTGAACCTCCCTTGCCATCGTTGTATCTTTGGTGTGGCGGTATGGATGCTTGGATGGTGTGCGCCTCGGTGGGTCCTCCGGGTTGAAGTCGATGTCGGCCGTCCCTTGCCCTTTTTGGACGAACCCATGCCTTGAGCTGGGAGCAAGACTTGCCATCATGTGACGACGACTACGGCAAAAATGCAAAATGATTAGAAATTATGCAGAATTGAGCGTTAGAATACAGAAATGGAGTTGCATACCCATTTTTCCCTATATTCATCAAGGCTCAGCTGCCTTGATGGTGTGATGCACCTGGCATCCGCAAACGCCGCCCGGCAAGCAAGGTGGTGCTCCAACCACCCGGGCTGCAACCACTCATCCACCATCTTTTCCCAAAGACCGGATATGCGCTTTCGGCACCACCACGGAGCACCTACATCATCAAGCATGTGACTTATGAAAAAAGAAATTAAGCGTAATTAATCTCAAATAAAGTAAGTATCAACGTTCTTTGCTTACACTCATGAATTGGTCCTTGGTCAGGTTCATTGTCCTTGCCTCTTCTTTTTTAACCTTCATGGTTCTGTATTGAGCGTAGAACTCGATGATGGCCTGGACGCGCGCCTCGTAGTGCATGTCCTTCACGAGCTTCTTGGCGGCTTGTTCAGAGACGGACTTCGCCTTGGCCTCGAATCCCTCCTGGCACTGTAGAAGTCCTGCATATAGAGGCGATGTATAAAGTTATTATTTCAAGAATGTCCAGTGAAGGTGATGTATTGAGCAATGTAGTACGAGGAATACTTACCCATAGCTCGCCCTTCACCCGCTCCGCTATGTTGGTGAATCTCCTGCGATCACGATCAGAGACGTCGGGGGCGGCGACGTAGTGGTCCCACGTGTAGGCCGGCTCCCGCTGTCCGGCGTACACCACCAAGCCAGGGAAGTGTTCCCTGCACAAAAGGCCAAGGATGCCGTTGACCTTGCGGTTGTGATCACCCCCACTGAGCTTAATCCAACTCCTGCACAAGTGATTAATATAAATTATTAGTTTCTTTTATAATTTTCAACATATCAAAATTATTGTGAATATTTAAAGTTACTTACCTGGTCCCTGTCGGTTTAATCAGCGGGCGTTTATGCTCAGGTATCGGACGCCTCGGGAGGGACGAGGGACCTCGCAACCAGATCTTGGACTGGGCATCCCCTGCCTCCTCCCCCTCTCTCTCCCCCTCCTGCTCATGCTCCTGCTCCTGCTCCTGCTCCTGCT